CCAGCAATACTATTATTCTTTGTTCAGAGTGATTTTAGTCTGTCTTGTTTTGTTTAATTTCAACATACAAGAAGGTATGGACAGCTATTTTGAAAAGAATGAGAGACATTATGGCAGTCATTGTTGACTTCCTTATTGTCTGGTCTTGAAGACCTAAAATGCCTTCACCATCCTGTTCTGATCAGTTTTATACTATGTTGTTTTGTATGAATTTACTGTGTGTGAAGAGATAGGGACAACTATTTGGAAGAAAACGAGACAATGTGATAGATAGTGAAGATCTCCAGTTGTCTTGCTTTGAAATCTGTGTCTCTTACATTGTTTTCTTATGTTTTATTTTGTTATGTTTAATTTTACCCTCTTTAAAAATAAAAAAAAACACAAAAGAGTAAAAAGTTGCTGGCTAATAAAGAGTGCTTGTGTGTAGTGGTGGCTGATGGTTTCTGTTAATTGTGAAAGAATTTTATCTTCATTAGAGCAGGGTCAATGAGTCCTCCACTTACAACATTTACTGAAAGTAACTCAAATTTTTCTTAATAAACAAAAACAGCCACTTGGTGTTGCCACTGATTTAAATGGATGAGTTTACGCACCACCGCAGTATTGTCTAAAGTGTTCTGTGTGGCAAAGTGCTATGGCCTGGATAAGTGTTGTGTGTTACGGGCTTGGTCCCTGGCCTGGGGCGCTATTGGGAGGGCACAGTAACATGAAGAGATAGGATCTAGTTGCAAACCTTCTGGCCATATGGGTACATGCCCTCGAAGGGGACACTGGAAGCCTGGCCACTCTTTCCCCTCATGCTGCGTCCCAGCCATAAAGGTGAGCAGCTTCCTGTCTCCCCCATCATGTGCTCCCCACCAAAGGCCCAAAGCAATGGGGCCAACAAGCCATCAAGCAAAACCTCCAAAATCATGAGCCAAGATAAACTTTTCTCTCTTTAAAGTCTCTTTAAAGTTGATTATCTCAGGGATGTTGTTAGAGTAACACAAGAGGGCTAATGCAGGAAAGCTTCCAGTCAAGCCTGCATGGAGTTCGCTTGGAGGTTCAATGCACACTGCAGAGAGGAAGAACCCAGGGAAAGGGCCTGTCATGCTTCATTTAAGCCAGTATCCCAGGTGAACCCAAGACCTTTTGTCTTTGGATTTGTTTTCTGCAAGCAAAATCTATGAATATCTCACCTGATTATTCTCCGATGGTACACTAATGTAAAAGTCACCTAAGAACATGAAACCCTGAGAATTCCACCCACCCATTTTCCTTCCTCATGGGAAGGAGAGGGGCTTAGCAGGCTCCACTATATGTTGCTTAGTGGACACAAAAATCCGGGTGCCCCTTCCTAGATGATGGACACGAGGGAAAAGGGGAGTCCTATTAAAATACCCCTACAAGCACAAGTACCAGTCTGGCAAGTGCAAGGTCCTGATGAGTTTGATTGCCTATACAAAAAAAAAAAGAGAGAGAAAGAAGTCCCTATATTCAGAGATTAAATTTGCTTATTTATTTATTTTTGAGACAGGGTCTTGCTATGTACTTCAGATTGGCCTTGAACTCACTATGTAGGTTTACAATGGCCTTGAACTAGTAGTAACCTTCCTGCCTCAGCCTTTTGAGGGCTGGGATTACAGGTGTGAGCTCCCTCTACAGCTACATTTGCTTGTTTTGGATATTTTTGTAAAAGAATAAGGAGAAAGCTGGATCTGAGTTAGAAGAGTGTGAAAGCTGGAGTTTGGGAGTGGATCTCTGAGACAGGGAGGTGATGTCCTTCCGACCTCTTCTTGGGATGGTATCTTGCCAAAGCCGTAGAGACAAGAAGACTGGTGACACTGCAGTTACCTGTCCTGCAGGGGCAAAATACCTGGTATATGGCACAGAATTTGCATATAGCACTGAAACATAATGGATAGACCTGGGGCTGCACTGGGAAATGTGAGGCCTCCATCTCCAGGACCCAAAGGCATCAAAGTGTGGTGTGGCCAGGAGAGAGGAGGCAGCCCTGCTCTGCCAGGCAATAAAGCAATCAAGACAGGCAGGGCACAAGGAGGGGACAAAACCTCAGCCAGAACGGAGCCCCACAGAGAACCAACCAGAGGCTTCTCCAGCTCGGCCCACTGTGGGATGTCCCCATGTCCTCCTCCTCCTCAGTAAACTCAATGCACCAGGAATTGCTCCAGAGCAAATCCAAACCACCTGAAATTCTTCAGAAAATGCTAAACCCAAACATTCTCTGAAATTCTGAAATTACATGGTTCAGTGAAGTCAGTACGCTGGCCATGGAGGGAGGTTTTGTGTCCCCAGCACTGGTGCACACACTTTTCTTATTCATTTTAAGCACATCAAGAAATCCCCTAAGAGATTCCATTTTCTCAGCAAAGAAAGTTACAAAAGAGAATGCGAAATGGGCTCATTTTCCCCAGCAAAATGAAACACTTTTATGTTTTATTCATGCAAAGTGAAAACTCCTTTCCTTTGCTGCATTACAAATTGAATTTGCTCTTGTAAATTGCTGTATTAAAAAAAAGGAATCAAAAGCAAAAGGAGGTTTTTTTAAAAAAAAAGAAGCAGAAAATACAAAGATCCTTTTTAGGGAATAAAAACTCAGGGGGCCACCGGGGTGAAACAGCCCTCTCCCTGGCAAACCTGCTTCTTTATGTGCTGCTTGAGGGCCCCCCACAGCCACTCGCAGCTCGCTGAGGCCTGACAGCCTGTCGGGGGAAGCCTGAGTACATTTCTAAATTATACTTCTCTGCCAACACTGAGTAAGAATGACAAGTGGCCCGTGTTTCTGAAAACACAGCCAAGGCCATGTTCGCTAATTTACTCTGACATCACTGAGGGGTAGACGGGAGGGGCTTGTCCTGCTTTGTAGGGCATCTGAACTGATTCTTGCCCTTAAAACAACCTCTCATCCTTTGTCTCACATCAAACACAGTCCCTGAAGCCTCCCTGGGGTCTGACTTTTACCCTCAGTGCTTTGGAAAGAAAGCCGTGCCACCAGCTGCATCTGCTAAGTGTGTTCTGCTTTAAAGACTCAACAGCAAACACTCATTACGCGTTTTTAGCATCTCCACTTCTGTGCCAGTTACTATACACACACGCTAGCAACATATACACATGTGTGTCATGGCCCCTACTATGCCTGTCCTTTCTCAGATGAGAGCGAATGAGGGTTGGGGAACTTAAATAATTTTTTTCAACTAGGAATCTGAATAATCCTGCCACACACATAACATTTGGACCCATTTTAAGAAGTTGGAGTGGGCTGAAAATCCTCATCAATGAATTCCACAAACAACTAAGCCTTAAAAATACACAACCATGGGGCTGGGGATTTAGCTCAGCGGCATAAGCACCTGCCTTGCAAGCAGGCGGTTGTGAGTTCGGTCCCCGGTACCGATAAAAATGAAAAAGACCAAAAAAAAAAAAAAAAAATACACAACCAGGCTTGGGGTGTAGTTTAGCATTTGAACAATTGCCTAGCATGTTCAATGTCCTGGGTTCACACTTCCGCATCTAAAGACAAAAAGACCCTCCCCCCGCTTAACCATTTTGGGTTGTACAAATCTTGGCTCCTGACTTAAAACCAAACTTGAGGGGAGGGACCTGGGCAGGACCAACTATCTTGTGTCTAGTACCTTCTATCAAGACTAAATGTTTTCAGTGATCACCCAGTGTCATCAGAGTTTCCTTTGTGAAAGTATTCATGTGCAGGGGTACAGCTGTGTTTAGCAAGTGGATGACAGATGCATATGCAGGATCTACACATTTACCTGAGGTAACTGAGCCAGCTATCAGTGCCTCTCACTCTGTTACAAAAAAAAAAACTCAAGATACACTCCGTTCCTGGGAAGGTGCATCCAATCAGCCATCAGAGAACACTTCTCGCTTTTGTCGATCAATACTTGGCCAAAGTCTTTCCTTCCTAGTTTAGAATGTGGAACTGAACCAGAGGACAATCAAATGCATCCATGCCCAGGATTCATGGAGAAAAGTGGCAATGAGACAAAGCAGGAACACCCTCCTTCAGACAGGCTCATGCAACCTGATAAAAACCAGAATGCACAGGAATGGGCCCATGAGTCCAGGAGAACCACGTGTTATTTGGAATTCTCACTTGCTTTTGCAATGCTCTTGTCCATTCTCAACACAGCAAGACCTATATACCATGTAGCTTGTCCCTAAATGCTAGGAGACTCTCCAACACTCGAGAATTGCCAAAGACTAACCATAATTTAAGGGTTAATTGCATTGGACTCCACATATGATGCCTGTGATATACTGCTTATATTTTAGCTAACATATGTTCTTAAAAATCGGGACACCCTTGTTTCTAGGCATTTTGGAGAACAAGTTCACAACACATTTACCTAAAAAAAGGTGCCATATTTTCAGTAGAATTTCACAAAAATATACAGAGTACCATTTTGATAAGACCAAACATTTTAAGAGATAACACGCTTAGCCAAGCCCAACTTCAGAAATTCCAGGTACTCAAGATTTTGTGATCTGAGGTTTGTGATTAAAGGTTGTATGACCTTATCTTTTCAAGTAGCTTCCACAAAAAAAAAAAAATGCCACTAAGCATTTTAGGTGCCTGGGATTCGACTGGCTGAAATAGAGTTAGTTAGCAGAAGACTGATGAAAAGAGAAAAATAAAGGGGTTCAGGCTGCCAGGAAAGCTGGGAACTTAGCAGAATGAAGATGAAGCATTACCATGCCCCTGGGACAGCTCTTGAGAATGAGGGTTTAGATTCCTCTCGAAGGAGAGGTAGCAGAACTAAGAGGCAGGAGCCAGAGCTGACAAAAAGGTATAAGCTACAGAAACCAGGAAGGACGGCCCTTGCAGGGCTTCTGGGCAGGGAAACGGGTGTGCTCTAATTTGTTACATTTCTAAGCAGCTGACTGTCAGGTCTCATATTCATTGTGTGAGGCCACACTTTGGCATGAAGCTGAAACTGGGGCACACAGTCAGGGGTGCAGCCAGCATCGACCCTGGGACTCACCGGCCGTTGTCGCGGCCCACGCCCCACACACGGATGCTCACAATGGGCTGGGAGTGCAGCACGGTGCGGTCCATGGGGTCCACCAGGCTGAGCATGTCGTTCTCCAGGATCAGGTACATGTCCTTGCCCTGGAATGCAACGAGAAGCGTGCCATGTTCCTCACGCAGGCTCCACATCCTGACCACATCTGTGGTTATCTAGGGGTGCTGTTTTAGGACCCCAAAGCAGTTACTCCATTGGTCTATAATTGTTTTTTCCAAAAGGGAAACATCCTTTCTGGACTAAAATATTCACTCATCTCTCCTACTCCCTTATAATCCCAGTCCTTCTCTTATTCTCTGAGTCCTCTGACATGTATCCTCAGCTGCTTTCTGGCTGGCTTTTATTTTATTTTATTTCATTTCATTTTATGACAGAGGCTGGCCTTGAGTTCACCATGTAGCCCAGACTGGCCTCAAACTTGTGACAGCCCTTCTGCTTCAGTCTCCTGAGTCCTGGGATTGCAGATGTGCACCACCAAGCCCCGCCTGACTCTTATTTTTAATTATTTACATACCTATATTTCTCAGAAGAAAGGCTCACATGGAAGCCTGGAGAATCTACTGTCTTACACACTCCATGCCCAGCAGACTCTGATAACCATTCCCTCCCACGCTCCTGGCCAGACACTTGGCCCTTCCAGACCCACAGCCATACCCTTTGCTGTCTGACCCTCATATGGTGCCATGTCTGTGAGGTGCACCTGGCAGCCAGCAGGCGGGGCTCTGGACATTTCTCAGTGCTAATGGGTCATGTTCATGTGCCTGCACAGTATATACAGATCCACTGGGGGCTTGAGGTGCCCTGGCCCAGGAACTCTCTAAATGGTCCTAGAAGAGCTTGTTTTATTATCTAACTCTCAGGGAAACCGAGGTAGCGCAATTAAGTGACGTATCTGAGTCTGACTCCAAAGCTGTGCTGGGCACCGCTCTATCACGGGACAGCACAGCGTCTCGGTATCTCAGCTTTTGTGCTAGAAGCTTTGGCGTCACGCATCTCTGTAGGTGTCAGCCCTCTGAGGACAGGGGACTAGACCATTCAACTTCATTCCTTCCCTGTGGAGTTCTCAGGCAGCACTGAGAGCCTTCTTGGTGGGTCTTCCAATCTCAAATTAAGACCAACCAACCGCTTTCTGGGAAAGCCCTCTTTCCCCTGCCTTTTTCTTATTTTGAGACAGGGTCTCATTATGTATGTAGTCCAGGCTGTCCTTGAATTTACTGTGTAGCCCAGGCTGGCCTCAAATTCACTGTGATCCTCTTGTTTCAGCCTCCTGGGTTGAGTCTCTTGGATTATAGATGTGCATCACCAAGCCTAAACGGAAGCTCCTGACAGTGATGTTTTAGATGTCTATCAAAGGTTCTCAGAGTGAATTCAGTTCTGATGCTCAAGGTAGCACAGATGAATATATCAGTGCTTCTTCCAGCCAGTGTCTACAGATTCAGTAAAATCTAAAACTGCCCTAAAGAAAGGCTACATGAACTAGAGATGGACTCATTGGCAGACATCATGGCTAGCACAGATGGATGGGGCTGAGGAGGCCCCACAGATCCTGCAGTAGCCTCTGACCTAAGGTACCTGAAGGGTCAGTCACTCACACGTTAGCCTAGATCGCAACAACCTCATTCCAATCCTAGCTCAGAACTATTTCAGAGATCTAGAGTTTTTCAGGAGACTGGAGGTGGGTAACTTGGGCCTGGGTATCAGGAAGGAAAGCTGAGGATAATGTGGTGGTAGAATGGTAAAGTCAAACACCAAAAGAGCAGTGTTGTTCTTGTGAAGAAGCAGATCTTTTCTCTTTTCTCTTGCTGGGGACTTGAAAGTCTGGCAAGCAATGCAATTCAGTTTGCAAGAGTCAGGGACCTACCTCCCATTGTGAGTGGATTCCCACACAGCCAATCCCAGAAGGAAACGTTTGCTCCCACTGTCCTGCTAATGGCATGTGGACAGGGCAGAGTGTCTGCATGCCACAAGCACTACACTTACGCGGCCCAAGTTTTGCAGGGCTCAAGCACAGTAGGAATATGGCTTTCCTGTTTGATGTGACTTCTATACATATCTGATGTTCTTAACCGCTACTTCCTTTTCTGAAATTATTTTGGTTACTGTTTCAAAATGGAATCATTTTGTGCACAGTTAGAGGGACTATATGGACATCAATTCCACAACTCATGTATAATGTTTTCAGACTATAAACAAAGAAGGGTGCACTAAGAAATGATAACGAGTTGGGACATTAATGTTCTTTTACAAGTATGCATGGATGTCACGGCCTCTTATAAGGAACACACTTTGGGCTCTGGAAGGCTGTGGCATGGGAATGGCAAGTTTGTATCCCATCTGGGCAACTTAGTGAGAACTTGTCTCAAAACAGAAATACAAATACAAATAAAACAGGGCCGGGGATACAGCTCAGTGTGAAGGCCCCAGGTTCAACCCCCAGCACTGCCAAAGAAAAAGAGAAAAAAACCAAACAATGTACTTGGAGAGCAGTGAATGAGTATTCTCTCAGGAAATTGTCCTAAATAGATTGGCACAATAATTTTACATATAAAATTCAGAGGACTCTCGGACTCTAAAATTTACCCATGGATCTTTGAGGACTGGAGGGTATGGGGGGCTCTGAAAGATGCTCTTGCACAGGGCCCCAGTCCTCACCTGGATGCAGCAGAGCAGACGGTGGCCAGCTGGGTACACCATGGATGCTGCCTACCTTTGTGAGGAAACACAACTCACACACACCTGCAGCCCCTCAGTATCACGTCCCGCAGAGCTCTGGGGAGGGGGACCCGGGTGGTCAGTCGTGAACTACATTCCCACGCTACTTACCTCTCCCCAGATGCCCACTGTGTCTCGGATGTCGTTTTTGCAGTATGAAAGCTGCCTGATGCAATTGTTGACAGCCACACTGCTTTTCCCAGGAGCGAGATCCTCCTCTGCCATCTCTACCCAGCCCAGAGAGCGTACAGCAAAACACTGGAGAACAAAGAAGAAGGTGGAAATAAGTGTCCGGTCCTCATCAGTCCACATCAGCTCACAGTGAAACCCTGAAGCGCTACAAGGGATGTTTAACGCATCTCTAAGTGCCCCACTAGGTTTGATCATCTAATTTGGTTGACAAATACTCTATCATTGGAAAATGAAGTTCTATTTTTGCTATTAAAAAATGTCAGGATGATGTCCTTGCTTAATTTGTGCAGTGTATCCAGATTTTCCCCTTAGGTTATTAGATGTACTATTTATTACAGGGATGGAGGCCATAAAACTTGTCCGGCTCCTATTATCTATCATAAAGCAGGTTTTTTTTTTCTTCAGTAGTAAGAAATGCAACCCCATCAAACCTGCTAAGCATCTAGGAAAAGAAAACAAGATAGAGAATGAATTAAATCCAGAAGAGGCACTTGTTTATTATAACAATGAAGCACAATATTTAATACCCAGAAAGGGAAAAAAATGGAGAAAAAGCAACAGGCAGGCCCGAGGTGAAACGCTAATTGTTACAAGACAGAACGGAGCTGATGCTCAGTGCCTTCCTGTAATTTAAAAAGCATTATATGTTATTGGAACAAGTCAAAAATCCAAAAGCTAAACAAGGCAAAACCCCCAGTCCATGCGAGGGCCAGGGTGACCCGGCTGTTGAGCCTATCATGGTCACCAGGCCCGGGCTCGGCTTTCACCTCTCCCCGAAGCGCCGAGTCCCTTTTAAGCTGCACGTCTGTTGAACAGGTCATTGTTCTGGGATAGAAGGGGCAGACGCGCAGCCCTGCACTTCCCTGGAGCCAGAAGATGGGCTCTTGCAGCACAGTTTATAGAGTTTCCAAAGTGAAGTTAAAAACAAAATGAAGAATGTGGTCAACTGTTCTAATGTGACCGACAAAGTCTGATGATATTCTCCACTCCAGCCACACAGATGGGGCACCGCCCCCAAAATGCCAAAGACAAAAGCAATTCACACGCTGAGCCACAGGTCCCACAGGGAAGGCTGGGCGACTGCCACAGGGGTGAGCACTCGGTGCCTTCTATAAATGGGTCCTGGAGAGCGGGCAGTCCCGGTGGTGGCTGCAGAAGTCACTTAGCAGGAAGGCTGGGAGAGGCCCACACGGAGTCCCCCAGGCCAGGATCAGCGGCAGACCCCGGTGCGCTGCCCTGGCCACCTCCGCTCTGGGCTGGACTGATCCTCCCGGCAGATATGTCTGCCACCCCCAGGGCTCTCCCCAGCCCACCTCGTTGTTTTACTGAAGCCCACTATCTCTCCACAGGGTGGCCCACTGGTTCTCTGCTATTGGCTCCCAACACAGGCCCTACCCAGTCCTCTCAGCATGCCTACCCTAGTTATTACCCTCCTGTCACCAAAAGAAGCTGAATTCTATTGATTTGGAGAAATTTTATTTATATTACCCTGAAAACAAGCAAACATAGCCATATCATCCGGCACAGAAAAGCAGGTACTGTTCCCACATCAAAGGTTACCTCGCTTACTCTCACCTCAACGACAGCAAGTCAGTATACCCATTTCAGAGATGAAAAAACTGAGCAAAGGGCAAAGCTAGTATGTAGGGGCTCTGGGCTCCCTGGGCCATTTGGTGATGCGTCGCTGAGGCTAGAAGGACAGTGTGTCACATGGGGCTAGGCCCGCAAAGAAGGCTCAAAAATAGTCTACAACACTGCTGTAATTTTGAACATGGATATGGCTCAAGAGGAAGGACAGCCTGAATTCCACTTCAGCTTTGTTTTACAGATATTGTAACCTTAAAGAAGTCATTTACTAGATTCTCAGGGTTTCAGTTATAAAAATGGGCATATGAATAGTAACAGTCATCTCACTAGGAGGTTATGAGGAGAAAACTATACAGTGTAGCTTAGAACCTGGCACACAAAAACATTCAGTGCACACTTACTGGATGGGCAGACATGTCAGTGCATTCACATCTTAGCTGGAGTCAGTAAAAGGGAAAAATGACGGGGGCAGAATATGTGTAATAGGGTGGCCACAAGTCTCAGGTTTCCCTCATGATAGATGCATCTAGTTTACGCATGGTACTCTGATAAAATTAAGAGCAGCTCTTTTCTTGGCAAAAATGTTCTGGGTCGGATAATAAATTTTAAGTTCATCTTAAGTCTCAATCACAGTGAATTTAGCCTCGGGGTCCTGGGATGGGCTGATGTGGAAAAGGGGTTTGACCGGGTCGACGCTGGTCTCAGCCCACATCTTAGGGACCCTGCTCAGGTGCCCTAGGACAGGATGACTCTGAGAGGTTCACACACTCCTAAAACCAGAAGCCAGGACCACATCCTCCTGCTGTGTCTAGCTGCTATTAGGAAATCTCCTGTGAATACTTACAAGAACTCATCAACCATAACAAAGGGCAAAGATTGGTTTGGCAGCACATAGACTAAAAAAAAAAAGAGGGGGGAGATTGTGGCTATCTTTTGTCCCTTGAGTTCAGGAACACGGGGGTTTCATCCTAGAAAAGCTCAGAAAAACCAAAGAGTATCTGTTGGTTCAGAAATATGAATCATCCAGCCACCCATAACACAATCAGGACATAGCTTTGTCATAGTGATTAAAAAGGAAACGAACAGTCAAACTATCTCATTATAATAAATTCATTCTTGAACAGTCCCGTAGTTATTATTTAATTTACTTTTTGAGCTGAAAAGCTTCACTGCCATTTCTTGTGGCCAAACAAGAAGGAAACAAAGGGAATTCTGAGCTCCACCAGGGAGTCTTCCCAAGAACAGAGCAGCTAAGAGCAACGGGCACTGATTGGTGCTGCCCTCAAGTGGCCAAGAAAGGTGATAACCGCCACCACCTCCTCAATCCGGAGGAGCTTAGCAGAATCAGCTCTGGGAACACTCATTTTACGACATGGGAGGAACTAAAACTACTCAATCTAATAAACTGCTTTTCAAAAACTTTTTCTTGAGTTTCAAAAACAAAAAATTAACATGTGCATTGTGATTGTTCATTCTTCAATAGCTGTTAAATAAATGGGCACCAGTTTGCTGGTGCTCCCCTTATTTTTATCAGTTATTAGCATTTAAGGGGTGTCCAGGCTGAATTAGAAAGGACAAAGCTTTTGGCTTGGCTTCCTTTTCTCCCATCTGTTCTCCCCCCACCCCGACCCCCACTGAAACCAAGCTATTACATCTTAGCTGGAACACGCATCCAGTTTGCTATTTTTATTTCCTACGTATGCCTGACAGAAGAATTTCTTCCTAAAATATGTGTAGTGGGGCCAAAGACAGCACAAAGCCTTGGTTTTTATGGCCAGACTCCTAGGTTCGAATCCTTCCATTCCATCTTGGGGTGCTCAGCCTCTATGACTCCCAAGTTTATTCAGTGGGAAAGTGACGATGTTCCTGAGCTCACAGAGAAAGAGGACAGGCAGTGGTGGGCAGCTTTAGGGACTCAGCTGATGTTCACTTCCTTCTCTCCAGTTCCAGAAGACTACCATTTCTTGCTTTGTTTTGCCCAGAGACTCCCTTTCTCCTCTCCCCAGATGAACTTCTAGATCTGTTTCTTCTTTCCTGAGATGTAATGGGGACAAGCAGGGTGAGGCGCAGCTGGCAGCAAGCTGGGGACCTTATTCCTGGACAGAAGTGGGGCAGGCTGCGAGCTGGAAGGGTAGGACATGTCCTGCCTCTGGCCAGGACAGCTGGCCCTGCCGTACAGAGCCCAAGACAACAGCAGTAGAGTGAGGGCCCACAGCATGACCACGCTCTCTCACTGCCGAGGGAAAGGGACACAAAGGCGAATGGTACCAGAATGGACAGCAACACTCAACTATGGATATTAAACACTGAAAATGTTCACATAGAAAAACTAAAATTTTGTTTAATGCTATGGTTGTAACCCTAATTACAGTCATTTATACGAATAACCATGTAAGCCTAATTACTGAACAGCACAATAGCATCGGTGTATTCAAGCCCTTGGACATTCACTGAGTGCCTGTTAGATCCAGGAGGCCTGTACAACTGAGTCACAAACGGGCCATACTTCTGAGAGGCTTGTGACAGGTTATTAGCAATATGAGCGGGGACTTAAAGTTCGGTACACGAAATAAGGGGACACAGAGGCAAAGCTATGTTGGGAGCTTAGGAAGGAGTCTTTTTATTCAGAGAGGGAGTATGGACAGCTTCCTCAAGGTCACGATACTGAGCTGGGCGTGGTAAGATGGATGGAGTCATTCATCCACAAACATTTACAACTCACTATGCTCCAAGTACTGGAAATGCACCAGTGAACAAACACACCACTCTGCTCTGAGCAGTACTTCAAAACTTAGAAGGTCCTAAAGCAATTTGGTTGCCATGCCAAAGCCTCCACAGCCTGATTCCCTTGGACCAAAGCCACTAACTAGTATCAAATCTCAGGCATGAGCCCTGTGATCTGAGACAAATTTCTGAGTCCTGGTGAGCCTGGGTTTCCTCATCTGTCCAGTGAGGATAACACCATGGACCAGCTGGAGTCCTGGCAAGGTGAGACAGGATGGCTTCTGTAAAGTACTATGCGAAACACCTGGCCCAAGGACAGTGGCCGAGAAAAGGCAGCCAGGATTTTCTCCAAGGCCAGTGTTGTCTGAATTGGGGGAGACCACTGGAAGCCAGTTGTGCCAATCTGGTTTTGTTCTGGATACACTTCAGGTGGGGAACGGAGAACAGGGCTGGTGAGGAGGCCAGGCTGTGTCCCCTGCAGCAGGACTGGTTCCAGCTCTTCAGCTGACTTTAGGGGCTTTAAATAATGATCCATAGCTGAATGCTCATAGATGCATTTCAGGAAGTTCTAATCAGAACTCTGTGTGTGTGTGTGTGTGCATATCAGGGAAAGAGGGCCTAGTACCTTTAGCAATTCTCCAAAGCTCATGAGAATAGGAAGTGATTCCAAGGAGACTAGATCAAGACATCACTGATGAAGACATCAACTAAAGCACGTGTATCAGGGTACAAAAAGTTTAATTGCCAACAGAGTT